TCCTGGCTTTTAATCCCCTTTCTCCTGCTCTTCTGGCCTGCTGCTTTGGGTGTCCCTGAGTTGTCTCTCCTCACTTGTATCCCTGGGGCTTACTAACATCCAAGGTAAACTCTGTGCAATACCATTGATTCCGTCTGCCTTGATACCCAGCCCTGCAGACACGTGTCATTATCTGACGTGAGAGAGCAGGTGTCCCTTGAGTGAACTAGGTAACAGGTCACTCAGTGCCCTCAGCCAGCTGTGCAGGATTCGCACCTGTGTTACTTAATATAACTATGTATACGTTTTATATACAATCCGTACACGGCAACTAAGTATGCGCACACCCCCCCCCCCGCTGAAGGTGTGGTGACAGAGCCCAAGCAGGGGGCCTGGACCTGAGGCGAGGGGCTCAGCTTCCCAGGCCTCGGCACTGTGGACCTGGCTTCCTAGAGGTCAGCAGCTCCACACATGGCCTGGGTCTGACATCCTTCCTCACCTCTTGTTCTCTGAGACACAGGGCCCGAGCAAAGGGGACGCCTTTTCCAGTTTTGCTTGACCGAGAGTGGGTGTGAACCTGGCTGCCAGCAGCCCTCGCTCCCTCCCCTCCTCATCTCCTCGTCCTCCCCGTGAGGAGGATATGGTCCTCTCCCTGCCACCACACTCCGGCCTCCCTCCCAGTCCCGGCCCACCCAGCCGGTTCACCCTGCTTAGCAAACACACTTCTCTCACAGGGCCATCAGCTGTGTCCACGGCCAGGGGAAGGGTATCAGCACAGCCTGGGCACCCGGGAGTCACTGTGCACCCCCTCCCCGAGGCATACACCCCACCCCGAGGCGCATCCCCCTCCCCGAGGCACACCCCACTGACCCGGGGCACACTCTCCACCCCACAGCGCACCCCCTGCCCCACGGCGCACCCCCCCACCCCGGGGCTGCCTGTGATGAAAGCATCCGCTAGACCCTTCCTGACGCCATGTCCACAGAGGCGTGTCACTCACTTTCCCCTCTTTCTTCAGTCCTGCAGCAGAGGCCGCTCCCAGACCACAGGGCAGTGCTGACAGCAGACACGTCCTCTCAGGTGCAGGCCGAGCTAAGCAGTGGGCTCTGGGGCTGCTGGAAAGATGCCTGGGCCAGAAGGGAGGCTGCGGTCCTCATAGCTGAGTGAGCCTCCTGCCCTCAGGGTTCCTGAGAACAGCACGCCGCTCACGTCACTTTGAAGCTGGTCTCCTCCCTCTTGGTCCAGACTCTTGTTAAGTGTGCTTCCTGAGTCAGCAAGCCTTCCCAACCCTTCCCAACACGTGACTCCGCCCAGCGATGAGATAAGGCATGCAATGGCTAAAGACGGAAAGCTCTCGTGTCTGTGCAACAAGAAACATGTTTATTCATGACACAAACACTGTCCGACTTAGGAAGACATGGACGGGCTGAACACGGAGAGGCCCAGGAGAAGTGAGCCCAGGAGAAAGTTCCGCCAGGCCAGCTCCATCCGCAGAAAGAGTTTTCGCTCACGTGGTCAAAATACAGTGTTATCCATAACATGGAAACCATGTTCCATTTTAAGGGCAGCTGAAACTCCTTGTACTTTCCCAGAGTCCAACATGACAGTGTCAGGGCTCTCCTTGTCCTGACAGGTTGCCACTTGCCTCCACAGGGTCCGCCAGCTTACAGGACAGCACACTGACTCTGAACCCACCCCGTGCTCCAGACAACCAGACAAACTGCAGGAAGAAACCCAGAGCCGCTGTTAGAATCCTCCTGACAGGTCAAGTCGGGAAATCCCCGTTACGAATAAGGAACAGCCCAGATCTCCTGTTCTCAGCTGTGGGCACAAATGTCAGCTGTCAGCTGTGGTGGAAGGAATTCTGCTCTCAGGCAGAAGCTGCAGGTCAGGCTCTGACTGACCTCAACAAAGTCCACGTCGTCTTTCACGACGTGTCTCTGATGGGGGGAGTTAGGGTCACAGATCAAACAGAGTGGAAAAAGGGTTTCACACGTGCACTGGCTACTAACCACCGACGGGCATGAACCGGCAGTGGTTAACAGTCGGTCACGGTCGGGCTACGGTGCTGGAACTCACTGGTAATGTAAGTAAGCACTATGTGTATGAAGGGTAAGGAGAGTGATCCCTTAGAGTTGTGGGATCACAGTGTTAGCGGCTTCCAGGGTCCAGGGTGGCTGCCTGTGGGAGGGAGGCTCTTGCTGATGCTCCATGGAAACCAGGCCCCCCCCCCCACTGTTTCTGGGACAGCTGAGCTGTGAGCACACGGAGAGGTGGACGTTGTTGAAAGAACAGATTCCCTAACTCATAGGGCTCTACGGTGGCCTGTTACTATTTGGATACACAAAACAACACAGCACTGGAAGACACACTGACTTTTACATAAACTTTGCTTCTTTCCAGAAGAAATCGCCACTTTAATGCTGTTCTCTGTTCATCCGTCATCGCTAGAAACTCATTCACCTGGTCAAGAAAAGAGGTTACACCAGTGACCAGCATTTCTGAAGTAAACACAGACCTCGCCTGCCGACAACGTCACGGGACCTTGCTCACTGCAAATGCAATCACCGTCACACAAGCTCAGTGCTCCAGTAAAGGAGACAGAACAGGACAAACCGCTGAAGCCGCCAGGGGCTCAGCAGAGAAAACCTCTCAGCAAAGTGAAGGCGCAATTAGAACAAAGGTCTCGTGGGACACCCACAAGCTGTGTCAACACTGCCACGTTGTATACCCGTGAGTCTCCAAGAACAGAGGCTGCTCTAAAAGTGCAGACAGACCAGGGAGGCCACGCAGGGCTGACCCTGTAGCCCCAGAGGGGAGCGACCCCAAACCCACCTGGGAGAGCCACCAGATGACTGACAAGTCCCCGATGTGTTGTTTTCCCCACTGTCACTTGACTATCCAGAACCTCCTGCTAATTCCTCCACTCTGCCTTAGGTGACATGCCTAATAATCACACTTATGAGGGTTTGACACATAACATGGGCCATGTGTGTCTGAATCAAGACAGACTCTCACCAGGCCTTTCCACTAATGTCTTAATTTCTACCATTGTTCACAGAAACAACCCAGGTTTGAGGGAAGAGAAGTGCACGGGAACTCTAAGGGTCTCTTCCTCCCCGGGCGTTACCGTGCAGCCCAACGTCTCCTCGGCGACACCCCCAGTGAGACTACAGGAGGGCAGGGTGCCTGTGTGGTCACTGAGGTCGACCAGCAGCTCCAAGCTGGGAAAGACACACTGAAATGCTGACGCAGCCTTGGTGCAGGTTGTACAGGCGTTGGATGCTTCATTTACGATGTAACCACAGCCACCACTGAAAAGACAGACAGAAGAATCAAGCAGGCGGCTGTGGGCGACGGGCATGACCTCTTCCAATGAATTGCAGCTTCAAAGGCTGCGAGTACGGCCAGAAGCCAGGAGCAGACAGACAGACAGACAGGAGAACAAGCAGTCGGCCCGGGCTCTGCGCGGCATGGCCAGCTGGGCAGGAGCAGACAGACAGGAGAACAAGCAGTCGGCCTGGCTCCACCCAGTGTGGTCCTGTTCACAACACCCGTGGTTTGTCTGAGACCCCTGAGCTATCCCCGCTCCTCTGGTCTGCTGGGATCCTCACCAGCCTCTGAGGCCCAGCCGGGCTCCTTCCTCTCCTGCCCCCAGCCCTCCCTCTGCCCTTCTCTGAGCAGCTGCAAAACTTCCACTTCAGCACTGGGGGGATTTTCTGTCCCATCCTGTCATCTCTTACATCCCCACCTCGTCAGTGAGTTGGTGGGGGGCAGGAAAGCTAGGCTCAACATTCCCCACACTGTGTCCTCCAGACACACCCAGAAAAACCCAGGGGGCTTCCCAGGCTCCACACCCTAAACGCTGTGCGTGAGCCGACACGCCCTCTGAGAGCGGTCAATGTGTGCTGGTCTGATTTCAGAGGAGTCCTTCAGCCCACTGACCGGGAGTGCTGACTCCAGTTCCTCCCACAGGACTGACCCCGTCCACAGGACTGTGCCCATTGCCACAGGATGAAGTTCTCAGTAAAGCTGAGATGCTTGTTCTCAGAAGGCAATATTAGAGGTAGAGGGAAAACCGAGGAGATGATAAAAATACTTTGAAAACTCGTTTTTAAAAAACAAACACAGCAGCTTCTACATTAGTTTTTCAACTTTAACATCAAATCTTAAAATGGTTTAAAAATCCACATGTCATTAAGTTGGCATAACACACTACACCAAAATACTGTTCCATACCCTACTTTGGCGACTAGCGACTGGGATCTTAAAAGCTTGCAAGAGGCCATCTAGATGCAACGATGGGTCTCTCCTCGTCCAAAGCAAAGAAGAATGAAAAAACCAAAGGCACGTGGAAACAATTAGTCCAAGGGACTGGTACACCATACGATCCTCAGCCTATATGACTATGAGACCAGAGGAAATAGTGCCCGGCTACTACTGTCAATACCATTTGGAGAGGGATCTATGTAGGAGATCCCGGATACAGTGGAAGAACAATGTGGAACAAAACTCAAAATCATAAAAAAAAAAAAAAAAGACCAGGTTTGCTGGTCTGAGAGAGCCTGGTAGGACCTTCAGCGTTCCTAGCTGCCCTTCAGGTCTGGAACTGAACCCACTCCTGTGGCTTTCAGTCAAACAAAAGACAAGCATATGAGCTGAACATTTACATAGGTAGATACACTCCTTGGAGAGATCAATCATGGGCGAATAGAAAGGCTGTGTATACACAAGGAGACGGCTCAGGGGGCAGGAGTGCATGGGAGAGAAGGACACAGGGAAGAGATAACTACAAGGAGGAAGTGGGAGGGGAGCTGTTGCATTGTGGGAGACTGCAGTTAATGTCATGAGACAAAGTGTGTGTGAATTGCTGTATGGAAGATGAATTTGCTCTGTAAACTTTCACCCAACTCACAATAAAATTAAAAAAAAAAAAAAAAAACCCAGGTCAGCATCTTGACGGCAGCAGTACATACACACACCTACACATATGAAAAAAATGTGTAGAGCACACATGCACAAAATGCAGGTAAAGGGGAATCTGAATGGGACAATGGGCTGGATCCCATACCCGGTCAGTATACCGACTGTGACCTTGAGCTGTGATTCTGCAAAATATTACAATCAGGACAGATAGTGACATGTGCGTGGGGTCTCTGTGTTGTTTCTTAAAACTGCACATGGGACTACAACCATCTCAGTAACCAGTTCAATTAAGCACATCCACAGGGGCCTTCCACAATAACATGCTCCACACTGCTTGCCACGCACGCCGTGGCTGACCATTAACCAATGCCGGTCCATGCTCAGTCCATGCACGCCATAGATGACCGTTAACCAACGCCAGTCCACGCTCGGTCCAAGCACGCCGTGGCTGACCGTTAAGCCTGGTGCAGTCTGTCTTACCCGAGAGATGGTGGGAGGCCGACTCCTCATGCAGCTGAAATTACTCAGCCACCAGAACGTTCTACTGTGATGAGACATCAGCTTGTTGTCCCAGCTAAAGGGCTCTGTCTGTACCAGGCCTGTTGTTTTCAAGATCTCGGAAGTACTGCAGATTAAATGTCACTTTATGAGGATATTTTCCTCTTTGACCCTAAAGAGTTTGGCACAGAAGCTTTTCAATAGGAGTTATTTCTCTGTATGTTTCTTTCAAATAAAAATCACTGTTCTGTCAAAGAAGACCTGTTACTGTCACAGACCTTAAAATATGAAGAATTGTTTTTGTCTCTTCAAAGATGAGTGAGTAATGTGTAAAACAAGTGAGTAATGTAGCCGCTCACCATTTGTTGCGCACGACTTTTGTCACGCCGTCATCAATGCTCAGCATGGAGATGTAAGCATAAAGGATGGCACAGACAGGCTCTGTCCGTCCTTCCTTCTTCAAAGCTTTCACCTTAAACTGCTTCACTGTGCAGACGTCAACAATCGCGTTTACTGAAAGAAAACAAAAAGTGATTCGACTTTACATATACAGTCTGAGAACCATAAAGGGCTATGTCCAGTTTACATCCAGTCTGAGAACCAAAAGGGTTACGTCCAGTTTACGTATGCAGTCTGAGAACCACAAAGGGTTATATCCAGACAGAAAGAAAAGATACAAAAGCCAAATGAGAACCTGCAGTAGTTTAAGCAGCAGTAGAAATATTAATTTGTTATATTAAAACTGATTGTATCAATAGACATAAAAGCAAAAAAAGGGAGAGGATGAGAAATCAGTCATCAGAGAAATGAAGAATTTCGGATCATCAGGCGACACCATCAAAAGAGGGTCCTGTTGGCACAGATCGTCTGCATTCAGCTGCTGACCCCAAAGCTGGCGGTTCACACCCACCCAGTGGTACCACAGAAGACCCAAGACTGGCGATTGGCTTCTGCAAAGATCACAGCCACTCAGACTCTGTAGCGTAAGGGGTCACTCCAAACGAAACATAAACAAGGTCAACAATGAGTGAAAACGTAGGCCCCAGGCAGGAGACAGGGGCAGGAGACGGCAGCAATGTGCACCGTGTAAGGGCCTCACCATCCCCAGGCCACCCAAAGGCCTCAGCAAACTTGCAGGGGAATTTGAAAGTTATTTTTACACTTCATTTTTAAAATGAGCGAGGGACTTTAAAAAGGCACGTCACAAAAAAGACCAGAAGAACTAGATGGTGTCTGGCTCTCACTACTCACCACTCCAACCAGGGACATGACAGAAGGTTCCAGACAGAATGTGAGGAAAATGCAGAACACAAGTCAACTTCTTAAAAAAGGCCCAGCTCCGGAGCCAGTGGAGACATTAATCACTGGACAGATGCAAACTAATACAACAGCAGGGGACCATGAAACAGCCCTGTCTACAGACGGACATGCCACACGCTGCTGAACCCCCCCGCCCCCCAGCCCTGCCGGTGGAGGCTTCAGGAACCACGTGATGAATGCCTGACAAGGCGAGGCCAGCCCCAGGGGTGCCCCAACACACTCGTCAAGAGACTGCGCCAACAGATACAGGAACTGGAATCAGTGAAGCCGAGAAGGAAGCGGTAGCACGCTCACACATGGACAGCACGTCCTATAATGCAAAGGAAGGCCACACGCGGCAGACGCCATCAGACAGCAGTGGGACAGGGCAGGATTTCATTTTCAAAACTCCAAATAGGCGACATCGCCCCGTGGCTTTTATGCTGTTAGACCGAGAATCGTGTTTACCTTTGGGAAGGGCCTGAGGGTCTCCTGGGCACTGGCACTGACCAGCCTGCTGGGAGGAGGGTCAGTGGGGTGCACTCTGCAAATGCACCGAGCTGGCCACTTGTAACTGGCTTACCTCGTGTATGTTAGACTTCACTTTTATAAGTTTATTTAAGAAAATTTATAAAATTCCCAATCCAGATGCCATTGACATTCTTTAAAGAGATAAGAAAACGAATCACCGACTTTATATGGAGAGAGACCTCAGATCAACAGCGCGCTCCTGGCAAAGAGGCCAAAGTGGGAGGCCTGCTCCTTTCCAACCTCAGAACCTACCCCACGGCCATGGCAGTCACAACGGCCTGTGCAGGCACAAAGACAGACACACACACCAAGGGAACAGAACTGAGAACCCAGAAATAGATCCGTCCACCCACGGACAGCCCACCTTCCACACAGGGCTGAAATCCATTAAACAGAGAAGAGAGGGTCTGACACATCGTGTTGGCAAAACTCGATACTCATCTGCAGAGAAATGAAACAGGGTCCATACCTGACACCAAACAGAAAAACTAGCTCAAGATCAAAGACCTAAATGTAAAGCCTGAAACTATAAAGGCCACAGAAGAAAAGCCAGGGACAAACTGAGGGACTCTGACTTCTGGCATAAGCAGTCTATCAAGCATAACTAAAAGCACACAGCAAAAGGTAAACTAGATGACTGGGACCTCGTGAAAATTAAACATTTATGTGCACCAAAAGACTTCCCCAAAACAATAACAAGAGAATCTATGTTGTTGTTGTTATATGCCGTGGAGTCAGACCCGACTCATAGCGACCCCTCCTTGGGTTTCCGAGGCAGTATCACTACGAAAATAGATTGCCCCATCTTCCTTCTGAGGAATGGCTGGTGGATTTGAACCGCCATGCTTCTGGTTAGCAGTCAAGTGCTTTAGGCACTATGCTACCAGAGCTCCCAGAAAATCTATAGGCTATGAAAATTTTGGGGCAATGACATACCTGACAAGGGACTAATCTCTTAAAATGTATAGAAAACTTCAATACCTCAACAACAAAAAGACAAGCAATTCAATTAAAAAATAAGCAGAGAACATCAACAAACACCAAATATACAATTTATACAAAATATACAAAAAATATACAAAATATACAAAAATACAAAATATACAAAAAATAAGCAGAGAACTTCAACAAATACCAAATATACAATACAACAAACACCAATATACAATTCCACCAAAGAAGACATTTAGAGGCCCAACACACACATGAGATGCTCATGACCATTAGCCATTGTTGTCATGTGCCATTGAGTCGGACCTGACTCATAGCAATCCCTCCCTAGGTTTCCAAGGCAGTATCACTACATAAGCAGATTGTCCAATCTTCCTTCCAAGGAGTGGCTGGTGGGTTTGAACTGCCAGCCTTCTGGTTAGCAGTCAAGTGTCTTATATCAAAGCAACAACAAGATACCATCTCACCCCTGCAATAGCAGTAACAATCAACAAGACAGAAAACAACAAAAGTTGGTGGTGTGAGGAGACTGGGACACTCATCCACTGCTGGTGGGATTGTGAAATGCTACAACCCCTGCGGACAATGGTATTCCTTAAAAAGTTACAAATAGAGACAATATACAATCCAGCTATCCCACTCTGGGATAGACAATCCTAGCGAAGAAAGAGGCGTGGCATGACCACACATACATCATGTTCATCACAGCACCACTCAGAACAGCAGGAAGATGGAAACAACCTAAGTGCCCATCAACAGTGAACGGATGAACGAACTGTGGTCTATACACACAACAGAATACTGCGTACTGTTAAGGAACAACGACGAGTCCGCAAACATCCGCACAAAGTGGATGAACCTGGAGGACCTTATGCTGGGTGAAGTTAGTCGATCACAAAAGGCCAAATACTGTATGAGACCACTATCGTACAAGTCCAGAAAAGGTCTACAGGAGAAAGAAACATTCTCTGATGGTTACCAGGGACGAGAGGGAGGCAAAGCACTAACTGGAGGATGGACATGTACTAACTTGGGTGAAGGGAACAGGAGCACACGGTAAGGGGGGATCAGCACCTCGTGACCAGGGCAAGGAGGATGCCGAGAAGTACCCAGAGTAAAAAGCGACAACGGTAAACACCGTCACAACACAATCACGCCCAAGAGTGAGGACAAACTACAATACACAAGAGGATACAAACATCAGGGACGTGAGCTGAACAGGTGTGCACAGTGTACAGAGCACGCCCATGAGCATACACAAGTGTGGCACAGGCTACTTCTACACACGTATCTGCACGTGCTGCACACTCATCCAGGCAGACAGGACAGCATACGGGGGCAAAGGCCTGAACACTTCCTAGCCATAACCATACACTTTGAGGGGGTGAGTCACTGTGCTTGAAGGCTTAGGATTGTAGTCCTAGGGGACATCTAGGTCAATCAGCATGGCACAGTCCACAAAGACAATGTTCCACCACCTACTCTGGTGAGGAATGACTGTGGAGTGGCCATCTAAGAGAAAACTACTGGTCTCTTCCCATCAGGAGCAAAGAAGAGTAAAGAAAATCAAAGTCAGTCCAAAGGACCAATGGACCACAAAACCCACAGCCTCCACTAGGCAGAGACCAGAACAAGATGGTGCCCAGCTACCACTACTCACAACAGTGGGTCAGGATCACAACAGGGGGTCCTAGACAGAATAGCACAGTGCCTAAGGCATGTGACTGCTAACCAGAAGGCTGGAGGTTCAAACCCACCAGCCACTCCTCAGAAGGAAGATTGGGCAACCTACTTCTGCAGTGATACCACCTCAGAAACCCAAGGAGGGGTTGCTGTGAGTCAGGTCCAACTCGATGGCAGTGAATTGAGTTAGACAGAATGGGAGAAACACGTAGAACAGAATTCAAAATCATTTAAAAAAAAAAAAAGACCAGACTTAACTAGTCTAATAGAGACTGGTGGAACCCCTGAGACTGTGGGCCTTAGACACTCTTCAAACCTGGAACTGAACCCACCCCCAGAAATGGCATTCCACCCAAACAAGAGACAGGCCTACTAACAAGGACACAGTGAGGAACGCTCTCCTCTGAACACTCAACCACGTCAGACCAAAAGGGCAGCATTTTGCCCAAAAACAAAGTTAAAAAGGCAGGAAGGGGCAGGAGAGATGGGTGAAAGGGAACAGGGAACCCAGGAAGGAAGTGGTAAGCGTGCTGCTACACTGAGGGATGACAGCCAATGTCACAAATCAAACCTCGCACAAACTGTCGAATGGGAAATGAATTCGCTCTGTACATCTGTACCCAAACCACAATAAAACGTTCCCCCCAAAATTAACAAAACTTAGAACAACCATCATCAGTCACTTTTTTCCTTAACCTTAGAGGAATCTTACGGAGCAAGTATTACCTTGGTAAGGAAGATTCTATCAGAAGTTGCCCAGTTGCTTCAGTATTTCATTGATTTCCCTTTTTGTTTTGACCTCTCGTTCATAAAACTTAATTGTCTTCAATAAAAGTTACGGTCTGTATGTCTCTCTACGTCACAGTTTTACATCTTTGCCTTCCTATTGGCATCTAGGCTCAGAAAGATGGACTGGAAAATGTTCACCACATGCTAACACTGTGTATTTCTGGGCAGTTTGTTATGTTCAGTACCAGTTTTGGAGGAGCTCTGGTGATGCAGTGCTTAAGGCATTTGGCTGCTAACCAGAGGGTCAGGAGTTCAAATCCACCAGCTGCTCTGTGGGAGGGAGATGAGGCAATCTACTTCCTTAAAGATTTACAGTCTTGGAAGCCCTATAGGTCACTATGAGTCAGAAATTGACTCAATGACAGTGAGTTTGGGTTTTTCAATCTTGTTTTTTATTTTTGACACTGAGCATCATCATTTAATAGAAGGTTTAGAAGGACCTGTTTATAGTTTTACCCTGAAATCCTTGATCAGTTTCCATCAGGGAGAGTGTCACTGGAGGAACGAGCATTCTCAAAGCTGTAGCAGCACACTTTTGCCTCTGAGTAAACTGAGTTATAAAGGTTCCCACAGTCACACAGTGTCAACGTGCTACCTCTGTGACCCCTTTGGTGACACACTACTCGGGAACCATTTTTCCACCTGACCCCCGTGGAGCCCAAGAGTAAGAAGCACTGGTTTTCCTCCCCCACTTCCAGGCCGAGCAGCTCCCAGGGACTGAGGTCAAGCTCAGCAAGCCTGCGTCACAGCTCACTGGACGTGTCTGTGCTGCCTGGCAGTTTCCAGGTATCTTTGGTGAATGAGCTGATGTTTTTAAATGCTTCCAAAGCAGCCACCATGACGGTTTTAACTGATGAATCACACAGCTTAGAGTCTTGTTTTTATACATATTTCACTGTGCTTCAGGTGAACATTTACACAGCAAGCTAGTCTTCAATCAGTAATTCACACACACACTGTTCCATGACTCTGGCCGCAATCCCCACAATGTGTCAGCACATCCCCTTTTCTCTCCCTGGGCTCCCCATCTCCATTCACTCAGTGTCTGTCCCTCCCTCCACGTCTTCCCATCTTTGGTTTGGTCTCCTACGCTGACAGTCCCTTCTTGCCTGGTGTTATTCTTTACTTTATGGGCCCATCTGGACCTGGCTGAAGGATGGGAGTGTCTTCAGTCTCAAGGCAGGAGGCTGTCTAGGGCGACAGTCTTGGGACCCCTGCAGTCCCTCTGGGCACCAAGTTGAGTCTTTTAATTTTTTTTTTTCTTCTTCTTTTTTTGAGACTGAACTTTGTTCTACATTTGTTCTGGTTACCTAGTACTGCTCTGGCAGGAATATACCACAAATGGGATGGCTGAACAAACAGTTTATTCTCTTACCGTTTGGGAGACTAGAAGTCCAAGTTCAAAGTGCCAGGCTCTAGGGGCTGTGTGAAAGCCCCTCGACCTCTGCCTTCAGCTCTGCCTCTTGGTCCTGCCCACTAAAGCTGGAGGCATCTCTTCACTCAGGCAGCTACTGACTGCTGAGGCTAAAAGCCCAAGGTTGACAAACAAAATGGCACAGTCCTGATGTTACCAAACCACACAGCAGGCCATTAATTCAAGTCCACTGAAAGGCCCAAGGTCAGCAGAGTATGGCAGCCCGCTGAACAACAACACGGCTACATGCAGGGTCCAAGAGTGCCATAAGCTAAAGACCATTCCCAAAGCTGCTGCTTATATACAGGAAGCAGACCACATAACCAAAGCAGCTTCTCAGCCAGTTGTGGTAGATCCCACCACGGAATTGATTGCCAGTTTCATCATGGGGAATAACTACCACCAGCTGCCCAGCCACTCAACCAGGCCCAGCCAAGTTGACACACAACTTTGACTACCACACCACTCTCCACCCATTCTAACCGGGACCCTCCATTGCAGTCCTGGTCAGAGCAGCAGGAACTGTGAGCCGCGAGCCACCTCCTGCTGTTCCTGCTTGAAGGAGGCTGTGCTTTGTGCAGCTCATTACTCCTCTGGACTACATGCTTCCTTGAGTCATGATGTTCCTCATCTCCTCTGCTCCAAGGGGGAAGAGTACTGCTTCCTCCACGGCCGCTGGCAAGCTTTAAGGCTCCAGATGCTACTCAGCAGCCTAGACATAGAACATCAATTTTACAAGCTGGGTTTTGCTAACTGACCTAGATGTCTGCCAAGCCTGTGGTCCTTAGTCCTCCAGTCCAGGAGTTCAGTCTTGATGTCTAACTGGTTTCTGTAACTGTGTCCCATGCGCTCTATTATGTATGTGAGTATACATGCAGCATCTGCAAACACGTATGAATACCCACCACGCCTGTATCCATATGCAGGTGTGTGCCTGGACAACTGCCCTCACCGACTCAACAAACGAATCTACCTCTGTATCTACCCATGAGTTACTGTCAGTCATTAGTGCCACTGCAGACTGCACATTATAGCATTCACCACACCCACTACCATCCAGTCGGTTCCAGCTCAGAGTGACTCCCGTTGGGCGTCCAAGGATGTCAATCTTCACGGAAGCAAAGCCCAAACCACACCCACTGCCTGGAGTCCATTCTGACCCACAGCGCCCCTAGAGGACAGAG